GGACCAAGAGACTGAGTTGGAGAGAGAGGACAGAAAAGAGAAAGAAATTTTAGGGTGGAATGAGGAAAAGAAAAAATAGAGAGAGAGAAAAAAAGAATTTGAAGGGCCTCTTTCAGACTGTCTCTGTTCTCATATTATACCACATGTACAGCCATATGCAGAACTGAATCCCCTGGTCTCAGCTAGCCAATGGCAGTTCCCCATGACTGAGACTGAACACAGTCTACAAGGCCTAACTTGAGTTTCCCTACCCTCAGGGTTGAACTCCACTCAGTTCTATTACAGGTTTCCCCTGCCCTTTCTTTAAAGATGTTCAAAGTTGGGAGCTCAGAAAACTACCCTTCATGAGAACCTATGCCTCTGCAGAGTTGGTCTAAGGACTGGCCCGATCAGGAGGTTTGAGAACGGGGTGGGGAGGAAGGTTGTGGGGGTGTTTCAAGGGCACCTGTGCGGCTACCTTCCTTACTGGGTCTGTTGTCACGCAGTGCAGGAGGTCGCGCACCCGCCGGGTGATCTCAGGCAGGCAGGCAGCTGAAGAGACCCCCTCCGGGGTCTTTGGGTCCTTGCTGGGTCTGTTGTCACGCAGTCCGGGAGGTCGTGCACCTGCCGGGTGGTCTCAGGCAGGCAGGCCACTAAAGAGACTCCCTCCAGGCTCCTTTCACCTTAATTAGAAGGAATCTCTCTCTTGATTGGAAAACATGATTTCCCTCCTTCTTTGGTATCTCCTTTGTGACTTGTATTCTTAATTTCTCCCAGAGGACTAACACAGAGAGCTCATGATCTAGTGTGTCCAACTTTTAATCCCTCAGTACTTTGCACATTTCATAGCTTATTAAATGCATTTATGTGATGCAGGAAAGAAATATATGGAAATTGTTGGGTGGCTTTTCCTAACATTTCATTTCACTACTGTCGTACCAAGATTCATTGAAAAGCTAGCCCTAGGACTCTACTAGGCACCCACCAACCTACCAAGGACCTGAGTAATGACTTTCTCCCTGTGAAAATGCTGTACTTGCTTTATTGGATGTACAGGCCAATGCAGCTGGGTGCAGAGGTGAACTTGTTCCTGTCAGTCTGGAAACTCCAACTTAAGGAATGATAGTATGTAGATTCCAGAACTCCCTGGCTGATGACAGATGATTTTATGTTGCTAATTATCCGTTTAGTTTCTTTGGTCATAACAAAGGCCTTTGAGGAAGTCTGTTGAGGGATAAGGTGAACTGATTTTCACTTTGCTGCTTTTCTGTTTGTTTGTTTTTTTGAGACAGGGTCTTGCTGAGTAGCTGGCCTTGAACTCAACTATGTAGTCCAAGCTAGCCTCCAACTCCAACTTCGGTGATCCTTCTATGTTAGCTTTCTGAGTTCTGGGATTACAGGTGTGTGCTACCATGCCCAGCTTTTTGCTGTGGTTTACATAATTTTCTCCAAGGGTAAACTGTAAGAATTCAAAGTTATAATGTAATTCTCACCTTTCCTCCATTTACCCCAATCATATGGCCTTTGGAGAGCAAGTAAAATAATGGTCTGCTACTTAAAAAGAACTGGAGAACATTTTCAGGTGTGAAATTTTATAATTCATACTTTGCATCACATACTTTGTGTATAATGGAGCTCATATATCTTTTATTTGCTTGGCAATCAGATTTTTATTGCATAGGCTCTCCTTCACCTCCATACACATCCACATGTTTTCTGAATATAATCAAATTCTCTACGAAGACTTAAATCTCCATCCAGTTTTCTATAAATTAACATCTGTTTAAATTTTAACTTTTCTGATATCTTAGGCACAGGCATGTTAACAACCTTGTTACTGGCAGTAAGTGAGATTTCACTGACTGTTTTTATTAACTTTCTTTTCTATTTCTGTTTCTTTTCATCTGATACTAGTTTTATCTTCAATGCTGGTAAAAATTTTTCAAGAAAATTCATACCTTTATTAGGTCTCTGGGGCTTAAAGCTTTCCCATCTGATTAAGAATTTATCTTTTGCTTTCTAGCTTCATATTTTTTTGATTTGTTCCTGTTTAGGATAACTCAATAAAACCCCCACAAAAACAACAACAATAACAAGAAAAAGGCAAGTCTATTCAACTGAACTCCTTTGACTGCTTGAGATAGAAAATCAAATCCAGATTACATTGATGAGAACATTCATTATTGATTCAAGTAATGAAGCTTAGGGTATTTGGGTTTAGAAGAGTTGGATGCAGAAGCTCAGATATTGTCAGTGGATCCCGTTTCTTCCCATTCCTCAGCTCTTCCTTGTGTCAGCTCCTTTCTCAGGGAGGCAGGGTCTTCTCTCCTGGTGGTAAGATAGCTGCCAGCAAACTATAAGCCCATAACCTGCTTCCATTAATTGCCACCAAAAAGAAAGGGTCCTACCCTATTCCCAAGCTAATTTCAAGAAAATGCATCATGATGGTGTGTCATGCTGCTTATTACTGGGTCATGTTCTTTTTTAGCATAAATCTTTGTGTGCATGGAGCAGAACTCTACTGAGAGGCTCAGGGCTGAGTTACAGGCAAATTCTAGGCCCTGAGCAGAGCTAGGTCTGCATCAGATGACAGCTGGGATGAGCGACTTCCCCAGGGTACCCTGATGACAAGGAGGCACTGTGAAGGCAAAAACAGAAGGGGAAGCTATGTACTGATCTCAGCAGAGGGAAGAGCAAATCATCTTTCTTGGCAAATACATTCTTGCTTCTACCTAAAAGGCCATCACGAGTTTTTATTTCATCTTTATTTTAAAGAAGCCACAGATTTCTTCTACATTCTGCTTTTGGAAGAGATGATAATGCTGGACAAGAAGTAGACAGACGCAATAACTATAGGAGTAGGGGCACAAGCATTGCTGGAAGCTGTAAAAAACAAAATGGACAAAACAACAATTAGACATATTTAAAAAAACTAGTTCATTTCTCATTAATTCACTAATTTAAGATAAAATTCCTACTAAAAATGTTTGAAATGAGATACTTTTTTTTTTTTTTTTTTACCGGGGATCAAACTTGGGTCCTTGCACTTTCGAGGCAGGTGGTGGAACCACTGAGCTAAACCCTTGGCCCAAAATGAGCTACATTTAAAAGAGTATTCTCAGATTTTTCTAACTTAAATGAAGTCAACTTGCTTATTTTGCAGATGAAGAAATAGGCACCAAGAGATTTAGAGGTTGACTTTAGGTTTTCCAGCCAGTTGCTGGCAGAGATCTGATTTTCCATCTTTACCTTCAGCAGCAGCATTTCCATCTTTATTACCATCGTCTTTGTCACCATTATGAGAACTAAGAGAAGTACCTATTCTACACTATGATCTGTTTTGATCCATATTAACGTTCTCAGTCCTCACAACAAACCTATGAATATTGATTCTCACTTCTTCATCTTTTTAGTTGATAAAACCACGACACAGAGATGGAAAGAAACCTGCCCACAGTCACGCATCTAGGGAGCGATACTGGCAGCATTCCAGTTCAGACAGTCTGACTCAGCTGTTTTATTTTGTTTGTTTGTTTGTTTGTTTTGAGGCAGGGTCTCACTATGTAGCCTAGGCTGGTCTCAAACTCACAGCGATCCTCCCGAGTGCTGGATTACAGGCTTGCAGCACCACACCCGGCCTGAACTGTTTCTAACAGTTGAATGCTCTCTGTTGATATGTATATCCTTTCATAAATTTTTTTTTTTTGGCATCACTGGGGGTTGAGCCCAGGGTCTTTACACTCATCCCAGCCCATTTTAATTTTAATTTAATGCTGTTGGTACCAGGGATCAAACTTGGGACCTTGTATTTGCAAGGCAGTCAGCGGAACCACTGAGCTAAATCCCCGGCTCTTATTTTTTATTTTGAGACAGTCTTGCTTAAACTGCCTCAGTGGCACTTGAACTTGTGACCCTTTTGCCCTAGCCTTGCAGAGTGCTGGGATTACAGGCTTAGGTTGTATTTATGCAAGAAGTATTCACAGTTTTGCTTGAGGTGTGTATATGTGTGTGTGTACTGCTTAGACATGCACACCTTTTGCAGGAAGTTTGCAAAAGTTTAGAGCCAGGTATGGCTGATGGAAGCAAAACCGTATAAACCAAAGTTATTGTTAGGAATAAATACTACTTAGTAAAACAATGGTCAGACAATAAAAAGAGGCAGGAGATGGAAGCCTTCTAACAGTGCTCTTAATAAAAAGCGGAATGGGCCGGGATTTAGCTCAGTGGTTCCACTATCTGCCTCAAAAGCTCAAGGTCCCAAGTTTGACCCCCAGTACACTAAATAAATAAATAGCAGAATCTCCTCAGCCACTCTTCACTGATTGCTCAGGTAGAAAAGGTGTTTGAGGTAGAAAGAGGTTCAACTCTCATTGCCTCAGTCTCTGTCTGTATTATCTACAAGGTGACCAAATGAGGGGGAACTATATTTCTGTTTGTTTTACAAATGTGTATTTTCTTTGAGTTTCATGGAAATTCTAATTGGAAAAAATATATGCCAAGAGTGTCTGCCTGTCTATCTATCTATCACCTATCTATATGTATACCTGCCTGCCTGTCTTTCTACCTCAGCAGTAACGTTAAGCTCTAGTTATTGCCATTAATAGCAGGCAAAGAAAATAAATAATATGTATACACCCACCTTTTTAAACTTTTGTGAAAGTTCGTGTTAATCTGGAACCCCACAGACAGGAATAATTAATACCACTTCAGCAGATCAATAATTAGAAGGGTTCTCAAACATTTTTTGTTTTGTTTTTTCAACATTGAGGCTAAAGATCACAAGGATGCCCAACCCAATGCTTTTCCACATTCCAATGAACAAGACAGTTGTTAAGTAATTCTAAATAATACTGCTTAGCAGTATAGCAGTGTAACAGAAAGATGATGGCTTTTGGAGATGATTAGCTTCTGTGTTGAAGCCCGTTTGACCTTGGCGATGTTAATTACTTTCATGAAGCCTCACTTTTGTCAACTGTAAAATGAGGGTTATCTCAAGGATTTTGGAAATATTATTATCCCTATCCCCAATACTTGTAGTATTTCTACCATCACCACCACTGGTAAGACTTACACAACTTTACTTGTGCATCGTATATGGTACCCTGACCAAAGTATCCTCCTAATAACCTCAATAGATTGATGCCATCGTTTCTCATTTGTAGATCAGGAAAGTGAGACAGGAGGGTTTAACCATTTCTGAGAGACTGCACAGTCACCAGCGGAGCCAGTATTTAACCTAGAAAATCTGATCCAAGAGATCATACATTGAAGTTCCTGAAGCATAAATCCTCAGCTCTCATTCTACTTACCATAGCTGCTGACCCCCTTTTCCTTGGTACCTGATCATGCTTCTGGGACACTAATTCTATTAGTTTTCTCCTTTCTCACCAGCCATTACTTCTTAGGCTTTTGTTATTTTTTTCATCTTGTCCTTTTAGATTGGAATGTGGTCCCCTCTTTATAAATTTCTGTGGAGAGCTCATCCTGTATTATCATTTTATGTAATACTGTTATCCCATTAACTCCAAATATGTGTCTCCAGCCTGGTCACAACCCTGGATTTTAGACCCATATAAAATGGACCTTTGAATTACAACCAGCTCAACATATGAACAACTTGGGTTATGACCAGAATTTTAGTTTTAACTTAAGAACAAAGTCTTAAGTTACAACCAGAACGCCAGCCTCTTGTGCTTCCAGATGGCCTCAGACACAGACTTAACTCTTAAAGAGTTCTGGGAGGAACATGACAGCATCCTTTCCTGTGTGGGGTTCATTGAGAAGTCCTGGGCCAGGGCCTCTTTAAGGACACTGAGATCTGCCTGTGCACAGGAGAGAGACTTTGAAGGGTGTGTAGAGGAGCCTGAGCCTTCACTGACCAATTCGAGTTACAACCACCCCCATGAACAAATTGAGTATGTAAGTAAAGGGTCCTCCGTATCCAGCTGTCAGTTTGACATCTTAACCTGGCTGGCTATTTCACATCTCAGATATAACATGTGAAACCCTTGCTCCTTATGCCCAGATCTACTCTACCCACAGGCTTCTTCATCTCGGTTAATTTCAACTCCATCCTTTTAGTTACTCAAGCCAAAACCTGGAATTGTCCTTCACTCTTCTTTTTTTCTCACTCTTCATGTCCGGTGTCGGAAATCCTCCTGCTCCGATCTTCACAATTTGTCCAGAATGTGATCAAATAAAACCTCCTCCACTGCTACCAGTACCATTTTTCATCTGGATGATTGAAATAGCCTCCCGACTAGTTTCTCCCTTACAACCTTGCCATACGACACAGTATATTTTCAACTGAACCTTCAGGTCAATTCTATTAAAATGCAAGTTAAATCTTCTATGGTTACTGCCCCAGATTGTTCACTGGTTTCCCATCTGACTAAGAGAAAAATATTACAAGTGCCTTTAGGGTCCAAAATCATTCCCATCTTCACTTCCTATTGCTCCCTCAGTCCTTTCCATACACTGGTTTCCTTGCTACTGCTCCTGACTCTGGACCTTTGCATCTGCTGTTTCCTCTTCTTGGAATGCTCTTCCCTCAAATACAAGAATAGCAGTTATTTTTCAAATTGTGGTTGTGGTCCATTAATGAGCTATGACATCAGATTAGAATGTCACAGATATTAATGTTTGATAATGCAATAAAAATTGTTATAACAGAAATTACAAAAACTGTACTGCATTTATGAAATAACTATTGACATTATATAAGATTGTGTGTTTTGTATTTATGTGTATGTGAACCAAGTTATAAATAGTCACAGTCGATAGGCTTGAAACTAATGGTCACTTCAAAGTAACATTTGCAGGACAAATGAATCTCCTGAAACGAGTTTGTAGAGAAAATTGTCCTGGAATTCTCATTAGAATACATGGGAAAGGAACCTACCTACTTCCATCATTTATTTTTTTTATTTTTTGGTACCAGGGATTGAACTCGGGTCCTTGTGCTTGCTAGGTAGGCCACCAAACTGCTGAGCTAAATCCCCAGCCCTACTTCCAACATTTAAAAACTGTATGAATAATTTTATGCAAACCACTTTACCCTTTTTGAATCTGTGTTCACATCTGCATAGTAGGGTCAACAACCCAATCTGTAGGGTGGTTGTGAGAATTAAATAGATAATATGTATGAAAACATTTTGTAAACTAAACCACTATAGAAATATCACTTTGGAGAACCAAGACCTGTCATGTAAAGGTACAAGATCCCAATAATGAATATAACTGTACTGTATACCTAAAATGTACCAATAAACTCAATTAAAAAATAATTTTAAAAAATCACTTTGCTAGTGAATATTAACCTAATTTTGTCATTTTAGCCTTAGGGCATAGAGCCCAGAAGGAATGAATAATTATTATAACTCATTTCATGAAGGATAAATCTGAATTACATCATACTGTTGAGAAATGAATATCCATGCTCTTGAAAGAAGCAGAAAGGGTAAAGTTGACATGGAGAATATCTAGTTAATATACTGTTTGAGGCAAATGCTATCCATAGCTGCTACCTGTCAAAATGTAGAGTGCTTCTTATTAATCTTTTAGATTATTATCTAGCAAAAAGTAGACACTCAAAAATAGCAAGCATTGCTTCTGCCATCTCCTTGTTCTCTTTTCACTGGGGCACACATTCGTCCCATCAAGTCATTCTGTCTTTGGCATGTGGATGCTACTCTTGGGTCCTCAGTGGTATCTGAGAGTGCGAAGAGATGAACAGATGCCAGCTGCTGTCACAACATTTCCACGAAGCAAGCATTAGTTCGCTTTATACATGGGGTAAGAAGTTCAGAGGTGAAGTCACTTACACAACAAGGCCACACAGCTGCTAACACATGCCTGGGTCTTTCTGGCTGGAAAGCCTATTC